TTCTTTAGAGCACCTACTCATTAAGCCATTTCAGTTGGGCTATTAATCAGATCAAGTCTAAAAGCCTCTTCGATTATGTGAAAAATGTGAGTCAGCCTGGTGGCGCAGCGGTTGAACGCTGGGTTGCAAGCTGCCCGCAGCCTCTGCAGCGCCGGTTCAAATCCCCGGCAGGGCGAGGGTCCCACATGGCGCTCAGACCTCTCCTCCCGCGCCGCTGCTCCCCTCAGCAGTGTACTTCGTCAGTCTGCCTGTTTCTGCTCCCCGCTCTGGCTCCAGTGAATTCTCTCACCCTCCCGCACTTCTGACTGTACCCAGTGCTTGTATAAATAAATAAATAGAGCTTAAAATAAAATAAAAAAACTAAAAAAAAAGACTGAGGCTTTGCAAATTCCAAGAACCAATGCCTACAAACATGCACCAACTCACTCTCAAATAGTGCCTAGCTAAAGTTAACAAAATTATAAACAGTCCGTTCCTTGCCTGTGCCTACACGGAAATTCACAAGAAATGACATGTAACAAGTCGCAACTTGATGATGAAAACTTGCTGGACCAGGAACAGCTGCAGCGATCCGTGGGCAAAAGCAAACAGCAGAAGAGGATAAAGTAAATTATCGCCACCGGATCCGGTTAGACAAGCTGGACGGCAGAAGCCGGGCGGGCACGGCCCAGTCAGGTAGGCACCGGAACCCCGGACGAGCGCGGCCGGCACCTGCACCCCCTCACCCGGCAGTCCCGACCCTCGAGAAGCCCCTGGGGTCGCCGCCTGACAGGCCGCGGCCGCCGCCCGCCGGTCGGCTGGGACTCAGCGGCGGGCGAAGAACCAGCAGTCCCCGGTGACAGGCTGTCAGGCCTAGGCGTCTGCCGCCGCGGCCCCCACCGGTCTCCTCACGCCACCCTCGTCCGGGCTCCGTAGGCCTCGCGGGGCCGCCGCCTCAACCAGGCTCAGGAGCGGCTCCGGAAGAACAGGCCGGACGTCAGTGTCGGCCGCCCAGGGCCGGCCCAACCGCCTCTCGGGGGCAACAAGCTTCCAGGCGCGGTGCGACGTGGCACCGAGAACCCCCACCACGTAAAGCGAAGAGACAGTACCTGTGCCTTGGTACCCGGCCTGTTCCGCCTCAACACTGCCGTCCCCTCCGCCATGACCATAGTGCCAGAGTCCGAACGGCTGGGGTCGGTACCCGGATGTAGGGGATGGCTGCCGGCGCGGGGCGGGGGCGGAGCTGCGCGCTTCGTGCGCGCGCCGGGGAGTGGCTTGTTTGACGAAACAGCAGGCGGCCGCGCAGAGCATGGCGGGAGAATAGGGGGGAGTCCGGAAGAGGAACCTAGGGAGGGAGGGAGGGAGGGGGGGAGGGAAACGGGCGGGCGGAAACAGCGGGCGGCGCTGTGCAGGCTGTGGACGCCTAGACGTTTGGGAACCGGAGTGGCTTCGCTAGAGTCCGTAGCTGCAAAGGTGTGTAAGAGCTGCGTAAACGTTAGTGCATTTCCTTGGGTTGTGTCGGTTACGCTGGAAGGACAGGTCTTGCACGATGGCAAAGCGTTTCAATAAATCCTTGTGCAAGCACGTACCAGAAAAGCATAATTCTGACCCTAAAATACGCTTGCAAAGTAGAAAACATAATCAGCTCTCTGGAAAAATACCACGGACGTGGCGTGAAATCAACCCAACTTCAAATCAGAGTGGGGCTGTCCGTTATCGAGTTTTTAATAGGTGCAGGTGACTATTATCTCAGATGGAGAGATTTTTTGGTTTTGTGCCTTAGATCGTAATTTTTCCAAGTCAGAAGCAGGAGGACAAAATAAATGTCTCCTGGGAATTTTACGACATACGGAATTACAAGTTTTTGCAAGTTTCAATATTTCTTTTAAATTATGACTCATGGCCGTTTGAGCCAAGTTGTGTTTTTTATTTTTTTTTCCTGCTTAGACACCTTAAATCCTACCTGGAGGCACAGGGGTTAAGCCCAAGCACTATGAAGCTACCCTCAAGGCTCTGCAGCACAAATTCCATCCCTGCTGGCCAGGGAGCTACCCACATGGTGCAGCAGACCTCTCCTGACTTGACCGCTTCTCCCCTCAGCAGTGTATTTCAGTCTGTATGCCTGTTCTGTTCCTCACTCTGATTTGGTGAATCCAGTCTGCCCCCTCACCTCTGGCTTGTACCAGTTCTTATATGCATAAATAAATATTTTTTTTAAAAAAAGAAACCTTAAATCTGATTTACAATGAGAGAGACTTTAGGTTATCAGAAGGGAAGATAGTTCAAAGGGTAATGAGTGTATACAGTAGTAGGATTTCCAAAAGAAGAAAACCTTCAGGTGTCCCTAAATGAAGATTGTATTGAGAATGCTGAGATTAGAGTCATGTTGAAAACAGCATCCAAGGAAGAGAGGCCTAAAGGAGAGGTTGGTGAGATTAAGTGGGTCTGAAGCTAAGTAATTGTCTAGGAACTTTGTTCAAGGGGGTTTGTCAGCTGAGTGTTGGTTTGCCTTTAAGTAAGAGTCCATATTTCTTTTTTTTAAAAATTAAAAATTATTTATTTATGCAACACAGAGCTGGGGTATAGGCCAGAGATGCGGGGAGGAAGGAAGTGGGGGGTAGTGAGGAGTGTTGGAGAAGATTCAACGGGGGCAGAGTGGGGAGTGGGAGCAGAACGGGCAGATTGACTGAAATACACTGCTGAGGGGAGCAATGGTCCAGACTGGAGAGGTCTGCTGTGCCATGTGGGTAGCTCACTGGCAGGGGATCCAATTCATACTGCAGTGACTATGGATAGCTTCATAGTACTGAGAATTAACCCCCTTGCACCACCAGGGAGGCCCCATAAGAGTCCTTATTTCAAGAAAAGATATGGACTACTAATTTTTCAAGAGCGAAGTCTTAATTCTTTACCACTAACTCCTAGATGCCAAAAGAGTATTCATTCAACAAATGCATATTAAGCTCTGCTATGCATTAGACATTGAAGCACAGGTATGAAAAGGTCCAACCTTTAACCATAAAGCACTTAGCATCTAGCAAGGGACACAGATGTGCAGCTCACTAATTCTCATACTAAATTCAGTAAAACTGAGGGCAATCGGGCACCCCGATGTTACGTCTTAAGAGAATGAACATGGGTGGGTCATGTGGACAACGAGACTAATCATTGACCACCTCAAAGGACATTAAATAAAAATTTTCCAGATTGGTGTGGTAGTTTCCCTGTATTGTAAATAGCAGTTACGTATAGTTGAAGGGGTAACTTTAGTTAATTAAGTACGATTAGTATAATTACAAGGACATAATGTTCTCTTTAATTTCAGATATACTGTTTTCAGTCCAGCTGAAAGACCAAGAGAAAAAATGAACAAATAGATATTAAATTTGGAAACAAAATACACATTCATCTCTTTGAAAGGTCTAATAAAATTGCATTGTGACGCCAACTCTAGCCTTGTTTGCAGGAAGAACCTTGTACTTTAGGGTTGAAATGTTTCTAGCTCATAACCTTCACATTTTATTTCCTATCAGTCTGCAGATTATGACTTCCAGACAAAAACAATTTTATAATGGGGTGGGGGGGAGAAGGAATCATGATCAGTAATAATATTTACATGTAAAAATGAGTTATTTGAATATTTTGGTTAACAAAGGAGTAGTTTTTTTTTAAGGCAATATGAACAAATGTAAATAGCTCTGGACTGGGATTCAGAAAAAATATATATTATCTTAACTGTTGACTGTTAGACTTCGATATTGCACAGCAATTCTTCCCTCTAGCTCCTAGAATATCAAAGTAAGTATAAAATTAAGTGTTCATGGATTCTCTTAGTGTTTTAGAAGCAAATATTTTATAAATCCAAAGTATAAATAATTTCATAAACATTTATTTTGAAATTCTCTTTGGGGAATTTTAAAATCCAAGTTAAATAGTGAATGTCTATAAACATGCAAGATACTGGGCAAGTGCTGATAAGCTTGAAGATGTATAAGCTGTATAGGCTCATTTTTTCCAAGAACTTAAAAATGATGAGAAAAAGGGATTTATAGATTACTACAAAACAAAATGTCTAAGAGCTGAAGCAACTCCTTTTGTTTGCATATTTGCTTTCTATTCCCCTTCCAGTATGCTCTTTGCAAACAGAATCATCTTGCTCAGTATCCTATCTCTTCCCCTATGTGATCAAGAAAAAGTAAACCCACTTCTAGTTTGAAGGGTAAAACTCTTCTGACCTGGGCTACTGTTTAAATGATAAACATGTATGCCCATTTTAGTCTAAATTGGTGTAAAGGGTAGTCTCATTAGCTGTTTGGAAATATTTTCTTGTTCTTGAGGAGATTACCAAAAGAAATGGTCCCTTTTTTCTGCCACTGAACAATGTCTGTGACTGCATCAGCCATCTTGGCTTGAAGAAAGCCAGCCTAAGAGCAAAACTGACACACTGTGAATGGTGCATGAAGTAGTTGAAATGTGCCTTAAAGCATGAACTATCAGTTTATATGTGGTGATGCAGGATATTTCATTCCAGATTTTATTCAAGCAGTTAAAGTAGCAGGGAAGCATGGAAATGTATGTTTACAAATTAGTATCTGTATATGGTTTTATAGACTTTTAACATGTAAAATTATTTTGTTTTTAAAAAAGAAAATTATTTTCTCTTCATAAAAATTGTACACAACATTTTTGGGATTTATAGAGTTCAAACTTAGACAACTTTGCTTAACTCAGATCAGTACAATACTGAACTCCCATAGTGCTTTATTTTTCTCTCTGGAATTCTAGACAATTTGACCAAAGTGGTAGTTGTGGTAGTCAGCCACCAAGATAGTCCTGAATCATTATTATCTCCTGGTATTTACACCTTTGTGTGGTTATCTCTTACACTGAATAAGATTGACCTGTGTAAACTAGGTTATTATGAAAATGATGGTGAGTATCTTCTAATGTTAAGTTATAAAAGATAGCATGGCTTCTCCTTTGCTCTCTTAAGTTGTATCACTTACCCTGTGTGAGAAAGCTGCCATGTATGAGGACATTCAAGCAGCTTTAGAAGGATTCCACAGTGAGAAATAGGCTTCTGTCAAAAGCAAGCATCAAGTTGACATCATATGAGTGAACCATGTTGGACATATATCCTCTGGCCCCAGTGGAACGTTTGGATGATGGCAGCTTCTTGAGAGATCCCAAACTGGGACCACCAAATAAGCTGCTCCCCAAAATCTGACCTACAGATACTGTATGAGATATTTAAGCCACTAAACCCCGGTGTGTGGGGGGGTGTGTGTGATTTGTTAAACAACAATTAGATACACTTTTCCTGAACTTTCAGAAAGGGAAGAAAAGTAACAATAATATATTATTTCCTCTTTATGACGGGGCACTTAATAACTTATTAAGTTGTAGTATTTTCTATTTTCTTGATGACACTGATCTCTTCTAAAGTTACTCTGTTATCTACTCTTTTCCTCCCCATCTATTCATTCTTGTATCTCCAGTGCCTAGAACAGTGCCAACACATGTTGAACAAATGAATGATTTTAAAATACTCAAACAATAGCCTTTTGAACGGACAGTGAATACAGGTTAGTAACTAACCCATTGTTGTTTTTCTAAATCAAGTCACAAGGCTAAATGAGATTGAAAGAGAATTTTGCAAGTCTTGGGCTAAATTTTAACATGTCTTAAAGAACTGGGCAGGCTTAATCTGTAAGAGAGAAGGGGTATTACATTCATTCTTTATCTCTTATAACAGAAGAATCTCCAGATGAAGCCCAAATTGAATTTTTTTTTAAATTTATTTTTATTTATTTATGCATACAAGAATTGGGAGAACTGGGGTGTAGGCCAGAGGTGCAGGGGTAGGAGGTGAGAGGATTCACCAGAGACAGAGTGGGAAGCAGAACAGGCAGATCTACTGAAATACACTGCTGAGGGGAGCAGCAGGTGACAGGAGAGGTCTGCTGTGCCATTTGGGTTAGCTCCCTGACTGGGGATCGAACTCATGCTCGAGTGTGATAACTTGATAGTGCTGAGACTTAACCCCTTGCACCACCAGGGAGGCCCTGAAATATTTTTGTAAAAATACTGAAATACTTGAAGCAGCTATGGAAAAACTTTAAGTATTGGAGAAGACATTTCAGTTTGATGTAATGCCCTAGCGTTATAATGGAAAACATTATTCAACTACATCAAAATTCCTGCAAGGTCAAAGCATAAAAAGCAAAGTCAAAATGACAAAGTAAAGGAAAAAACTTCTCACAAAAAATTAGTTTCCCTAATAAATATATCACACAAATCATAAAAGTCCAGTCACCAGTAGAAAAATGGGCAGAAGATATTAAGTCAGTAGGGTACAGTAAAAGAAATAGAGATGGCTCTCAAACACAAGATGTTTACCCTCACATATATTAATAAATTAAAATGATCAAATTGGCATAGTAAAACCTTTATAACATCTTGTGTTATGGAGGATAGGAAGAAATCAGCACTCTCATACACTGCTAATAGGATTGATAACATTTCTACAGGGACAACTTGAAAATACATGTGTACATGTGTATGTATATGTGTGATTAAAGTCCACATGCCCATTGACATAATAATTATACATCTAGGAATTTATCTTACAGATATACTTGTTCACAAGTGCAAGATAATTTATGCAAAAATTTATTCATTGTAGAAGTGATTTAGGAGCATAAGATTGGAACTTCAGTATCTATCACTGGACATACTTAAATTATGAGTCATGCCTATAATGGAACATTATATTACTAGAGGATGAAAAAGATCTTTATGCACTTTGTAGATTAATTTGAGACAAATTGTTTAAAAAAGCAAGGGGTGAAATGGTGTTATGGGATGTTTTTCATAAGAAAAAATACGTATTATTTCCTATAATTGTGTACACACACACACAAATACATAAAAATATATAGAACACATCTGAAAAAGGAAGAATATAAACTCTTATGTTAGTTATAGGAATAGAACTGTGTGGCCAGGAGACAGAGATGGGAAGGATTCTTTTCAGTGTCTTTTATTTTTATTATTTTTTAAAGATTTATTTATTTATGCATACAAGAGCTGGGGTAGAGGCCAGAGATGGTGGGGGGAGGGGGGCCGCGGGGCAGGGCGAGGATTCACCAGAGACAGTGGGGAACAGAATAGATAGAGTGAGTGAAATACACTGCTGAGGGGTGCAGCGGGCAAGACAGGAGAGGTCTGCTGTGCCATGTGTGTTGCTCCCTGGCCGGCTAGGGATTGAACTCATACTGCAGAGGATTCGGATTGTTTCATAGTGCGGTGCTTAACCCCTTGCGCCATCAAGGAGGCCCTAACTTGTACTCTTAATAACATACGTAAGGGGCCTTCCCTGTGGCGCAGCTGTTGAGAGCCGCGCTGCGAAGCTGTCCGCGGCCTTTGCAGCGCTGGTTTGATTCCCCGCAGGCCAGGGAAAACCCCACATCGAGCAGCCGACCTCGCAAGCCTCGTCAGCTGCTCCCCTCAGCAGTGTCTTCGGTCCCTCTGCCTGCTCTGCTCCTCTGCTCCCGACTCTGGCTCTGGTGAATTCTCTCACCCTCCCTCACTTCTGACCTGTGCCCCAGTTCTTGCATAAAATAAATCTTTAAAAAAAAAAAATATGTAAAACCTTGTAATTTAGGGCCTCCCTGGTGGCTCAAGGGGTTAAGTCTCAGCACTATGAAGCTATCTGAAGCTATCTGCAGCCAGCCATGAGTTCAATCTCTGGCCAGGGAGCTGAACCACATGGTGCAGCAGACCTCTCCTGACTCAGGCGCTGCTCCCCTCAGCAGTGTATTTCAGTCAGTCTGCCTGTTCTGCTCCCCACTCTGTCTCTGGTGAATCCTCTCAACCCCCCTCCACCTCTGGCCTGTACTCCACTTCTTGTATCATGAATAAATCTTTAAAAAAAAAAAAACTTTATAATTCATGTTGGCTGAGAATGAAAAAATAACATGCCCCTTAAGGACAAATGTATGGCAATTCCTGAAAAAAAAAAAAAAATTACAACTATCATAGTTCTATCCAGCAATCCCATTCTGGAAGACAGGTAAAATTCTAACTGGAATTTTCATGGCATTACCATTTTTGAGTGCCGCTTTGAGGAACTATTCTAAGCACTTTAACATATAATCTTATTTGTGTATGCTCATACCAATCTGTGAGACTAATTCTTTGCCTCATAAGTGAAAGATGCTAGAATAATTGTGTCAGGGTGACAAATTGAAGTCAGGTTTGGAAGTGAACTCAGATTTGTCCAACTTCAAAGTGTGCTTTCTACTACACACAAAACACAAGTAAAATTATCAGAGCAGTTTCTACTAAACAATTACCACCATTTTTAAGAGGCTTTCCCCACCTTATTTCCTAATGTAAATGGCCTTACTGTTCTGAAACAAGTGATTCCATACTCCACATGCCCTTGTCTTTGGTATGAATTTCTCATACCAAAATCTTTTCCTGTTTATGCAATATAGTATGAGCCTATTATTTCTTTATAAGTTCTGCTAGAAAAGCATTACAGGAGTCCTGTAATGCTATGGTATGAAAGTATTCTCTTGTCCTTCTCATTTAGTAACCCTGAAATCTTGAATACACCAAATAATTCTAAGGATGAACCAGGTTGGACAGTTTCCATTTTTGCTTGGTTCTTTAGGAAATTGCATCAGGGAATAATGGGAAAGCCATGTTTTTTTTTTTCCTTCTTTGAAGATTTATTTATGCATACAAGAACTGCGGTACAGGCCAGAGGTGTGGGGGATGAGAAGTTTCACCAGAACCAAGTGGGGAACGGAACAGGCAGACTGAAAATACACTAAGGGGGGAAGCAGGGCAAGACAGGTGAGGTATGCTGTGCCAGGTGGGTAGCTCCCTGGCAGGCTGGGAATGGAACTGGTGTTGCAGAGGCTGCAGGTAGCTTCACAGTGCAGTGCATTACCCCTTGAGGCCCCAGGGAGGCCCAGTGCTTTTGGATTGGATTCCTAACCAACTTACCAGCCACATGGCTTTGAATGTTTCATTTAGTCAGTTTTCTCATTGATAAAATAAAATCTGTACATACAAATTATCTAGCTGTGGCTAGAACACATAGGAAATTGAGAAAAGTACCACACATTCCCATACCACAGTAACTATTGCCAGCATTAATGGAGTTTTCTGACAAAGTAGCAGAGGCCATAAAAGTTTCAGACAGCAACATCCGGAGATGGACTACTTATGTACAATGAACACAACCAATATTAACTATTATACCTTGCCTTGGGTTTTTTTTGCCAATTATGTAACTGCATTGTTTCAAAAAATCAAATGTTTTTCTAAATAGAAGACTTTAATGTGTAAAGCAAATACACATATATTTTTTAAATTAATTTTTGTGTAGAACTGGGTTTGTAGGTCAGAGGTTAGGGGGAGGGGTAAGAGGATTTACCAGAGTGGGGAGCAGAAAAGGTGAATCTGGGATTGATCTCAGGCCATCTTGGTACACCATAGTAGTGGAAGCGCTGACACTTAACCCCTATGCCACCAGAAAGGCCCTCAATAAATACATGTCAATATAAGCACTGTTATGTATGAAGTTAGAATGTTGCTACTCAACTTTCTTAAAATTAAGTAGAAATTCATTACTGTATCAGCATCAATTATTTATGTATTAAGGCTAATTTCAATGTGAAAATGGAAAGCTTTCTCAGAATCTGCTGCAGGTTATTTGTAAAAAAAAAAAACAAAACTAGAGAACCCTAAAGCCACCTTCAATCACTAAATAAAGATTTACCATTCATTTATATGCTTTTATTTGGAAATGTTTATGTAAGTACAGTGAAACTAAATTTTAGAGACACTGGATGTCATCACAGTTTGGATAGCATTAGTTTATTATAAAAGAGACACAGAAATTATTTACATGATGAAAGATTTCAGAACTTGAGTGGAATGGGCTGCTTCACATGATGCCATTTCAATCTTGGTTTCAGTCTACATACTTTCCAAGAATATCACCATCTCTAAATAAGAAATAATCCTACAAACAGAAAAAAGCCTATTAGTTAAGAAAATTAATAGCAAGTACTTAACTTCTTTTTAAAATTATTATGCTTACACACCTTGTCATCTAGAACTACTTTGGTGCCTCCATATTCTGGGAGAAGAACTTTATCTCCAACTTTCACACTAACTGGTTGAATCTCTCCACCCTTAAGAAAATGAGAATGTTATTAGCAAAGATAACTAGTTCAACAGATATTTACATTTAATTTTCATTAATCAAATATTCTCACTCGAATCGAACATTAGAGACTTTGTTGCCAAGTGATATAATTCATGTTACAATTAAGAGTACTTGAAAAAATATCATTGTAGAATTACACTTTGAAATGTGCACAAGGTGGCCTAAAGTAAAACTTGATTTCAGAGTAAGTGTTCAAGTAATTATACTGGGAAAGCTGACTTTAACTATATCTAACTTTTTAATCATTAAATATTAACCTATGGGTTATTTGAAACAAACCTGTCTTGAAAACTATATACACGAAGGTCATGTTTGATTTCTTTCAACATACAAAAATTTAACAGAAGTTTCTCAAATCTGTAACATATACTTCAATTTTGGTTTCTCCAAAATACAGATTTGGGGAGAGGGGCTGAAGTACACTGTAAGCCGCCGTGTTTTTGTGTGGTTTTTTTTTTAAAGATTTATTTTTTTATGCATACAAAGCTGGGGTGCAGGCCAGAGGTGCGGGGGTTGAGAGGATTCACCAGAGATAGAGTGGGGAGCAGAACAGGAGGATCTACTGAAATACACTGCTGAGGGGAGCAGGTGAGACAGGAGAGGTCTGCTGAGTCATATGCATCAGCTCCCTAGCAGGGGATCCAACTGCTGCTGATGGTGGCTGCAGATAGCTTCACAGTGCTGAGTCTTAATCCCTTGCCCCACCAGGGAGGCCCAGCCCTCCTTTTCTTAACTCACAGGTTAGTTTCAATGCTAGAACTAATTTTCCTAGAGACAACAGAGACAATCAACACATTCGATCCCAAGGGCATTTACCTGACTTTACTTAACTGGAGAAGTCAAGGAAGGATAGTTCAACCTGTTCCTTTCATAGATAGGCCAACTAAGGCTTCAAGAAGTTAAAAGATTAAGGCAACTGGGGGGCCTCCCTGGTGCACAAGAGGTTAAGCACCACACTATGGAGCAGTCCCACAGCCTCTGCAGCATGATTTTCGATCCCTGAGTTTAATCCCCTGCTGGACTGGGAGCAACGCACATGGCGAAGCAGATCTCTCCTGTCTTGCCCGCTGCTCCCCTCAGCAGTGTATTTCAGTCTACCTGAGTTTCCCGCTGTCTCTGGTGAATCCTGTCACCCTCCGCATCTCTGGCCTGTACCCCAGCTCTTGTATGCATAAATAAATAAATCTTTTACAAAAAAAAAGATTAAGGCAATTTCAGTGTATTAGATGTGATACCAAGAGTCAAATTCCCCTCAATTCCCAAAAATTCCCACCTCCAGATTTTTAACCGTAATTTTTTGCTTTGTCAATAATTTAGAATTTGAAGAAAATGCTGGTTGTACTGTTACTGGTTTTTATACTCTGGAACTCTCCCTCATATAAAGTAATTTTATTTCGCAATCATTTCCCTTAGGGTGGCAGATAATTTAAAAGGTTACTTTTAATACAGGGATTCTTTTTTCCTCTACACTTAACATAAAACAGCTCATTTTAGACACCATTTACCTTTCCTTTAGAGCCTGATCCAACAGCTACTACTGTTGCTTGCAACACTTTTCCTTGAGATTTTTCTGGAAGCATAATGCCTCCTTTGGTTACAGTTTCAGCTGCACTCCTTTCGACTAATACTCGGTCGAAGAGGGGAAGAAACTTTCTAAATGCCTGTCCTGCCTGTTGGGAGATAAACGTTAGATATGAAACAAGAAACAAGTTGTAACTACATTATAACAAGCAAGACCATCGTGTTACATAGCAAGCACCCCCGTGAAGCTTCCCACGATAACACCAAATCTCAGCTTATTCCTTCCGAAAAAAGGTTAATGTTTTGCTCTAAATCACGCGTTAATTTCTTTCCCTGTGTGTTAGGGATCGCTGCTCCTCTGGTCAGCAGTGCAGTCAGCCGTAAGGGCAACCGTAATTTTCCCCAAGGTCAAGCATTTTCCTCCCTCAGGTCTCTCTGGGTTTGTTCAGCAAACGCTGAGGTCAATTCCTCTGCCTGGGGCTACGCTTCCAAGCCCCCACACACTCGCCGGCCGCCGCGCGCGCGCCCGCGTTCCCTCCTCCTGACCCCACACGCCGGCCGCACACGCGTGTGCAGAGTCCGGGCGAGAGAAAGGGTCGGGGAGGCCTCGCGTCTTGTGGCTTCGCGCACGCGCCGGGCACGGAATGACCCCTAACCTCCCGGCTAGGACTAAAAAGAACTGTCCCGCCGCCTTAGGCCCCCTGGTCCGCCGGCCTCCAACCCACGAGGACTCACCATGACTCCGGCCGCTGCAGTCGCCCTGTTCTCCCGCCGCCGCAAAAAAGACAGACCCGCAGCCCGGCCCTCCGGACACGTGAATGTGGGCCGAGGCCGCCCAACGCGCAGGCGCGCGGGCCCGCGAGCCCCGCCCCCCCCCCCGCGAGAGTGGGCGGCCGCACCAGCGCGCGCCCGGATTCGCCCCGCGCGCTCTGCGCAGGCCCCTGGCGCCGGGACCGGGAGGCGGAAGGAAAGAGCAGCTCTTTCTAGGCTTTTCTAGGCCGCCTGCCGAGGTGAAAGTACTAGCCCTTCGCCCCCTCCCGGATGTGACGTGCTTTGCCCCTTGACCTACAGAAAGCGCGGCGCCTCCCGGAAAGTTCTGGAAGCGAGCGCCGCCCGGGAACTAGCCTAAGTCGGCCCGAGAGGCCTGAGCCCGCTGGCCGGCCCAGCGTGGGGAGGGAGGGGCGGAGCTGGCGCGCCGCGCCTGCCGATTGCCGGGCCCGGGCCGACGGGAAGGGGGAGGGAGCCGCCGCGCACGCGGTGCCGCGGGGCGGGGGGAAGCGCGGAGGGAGGGGACACGGGCTCATTGCCGTGTGCGCCCTGCACTCTGTCCCTCACTCGCCGCAGACGGTCCGAGTCGTCGCCCGCGCGCCCTGCCGCCGCCCCGCAGGTACACGGCCGCCCCGCGCCGCCTCCCCCCGCCGCCCGGGATCCGGGGCCGACCTCGGCCCGCTGCGGGCCTGCCGGAGTGCGCCGGCGGGCGGGAGCCAGGGTTCCCCACGGCCGTGCAGGCCCGCGCCCGCCGGGCCAGGCCTCGCGGCTCCATGCGGGAGCCCGTCACGTGCGCCGGGGAGGGAGCGCTCGCCCGGGCCGGGCGCGGGAGCAGGAGGGCTCGCCGGGATGTTCGTGGAATTGGGGGAGGGGGCTCGTGTTCACTGGGGCGCCTCGATGCAGCTCACTTTCGGCCAACTGCTGAGCCCCGCGAAGGGTGGTCGCGGCCGAGTGGGACTGCCTGTGGCCTGGCGGGCAGCCGCGCTGCGGCGACTCCACCCTTGACCTTGCTCGGGGCGTCCTGATGGGAAGACACGTGGGGCCGCGCCGAGTGGGCCGGGCCGCCGCCCCCAGCGCCGCGGCCTTGCGGGCAGCTCTGATACAGTAGCCTGGAGTGGATACATGAGGACACTGATTACTAAGCGGATTTTTGCACCGTCAGTAATATTTCCGCTCTCCCGGTCACTGGGTTTTAGAGTCTTCCCCTTACCTTAAGACTTGGGTTTTCAGGGACCTGTGTGCAGTGGGCTTACTCTCAAGGCCGTTTCTACGGTGAAAGATTAACTCGTTTGTTAGCGATAGCGGCTACATCTAGGCGTAGGTGGCGGTGGGGAGGAGATGGGTGTGCTTTGTGCTGGGGCCTGCGGCGTGAGGGAACTTCAAGTTTACGCCAGTAGCTGTTGCGAGACTCAACCCATCTCACATCTAAAATTTCTGACCTGTAACGCAGGTGTCACGTTTGTGCTGTAAGGCACCTCGGGTATTACTGTAACGGTCACTGCTAATACTAATATGACGATGATCTGCTTGTTTCCCTTTTCAGAAATGCTTCGATTACTCTCAGTCCTTCGCCAGATTAGGCCGGTGTCCAGGACCCTGGCTCCTCATCTCACTCGGGCTTATGCCAAAGATGTAAAATTTGGTGCAGATGCCCGAGCCTTAATGCTTCAAGGTGTAGACCTTTTAGCTGATGCTGTGGCGGTTACTATGGGGCCAAAGGTATCAGTGTTACTTTGTTCTAATTTATATATTGCTAAGTAAGGCATATTTTATTTATGTAAATAGTCGTGCTGAACTGGCGAGCGGTACTTTGGTATATTGGCATGTTTTTGAGAAAACCTAATTTACATGTAAGTTCCAGATTATGGGTCATTTTTTTTTCTTTTCCTTAGATATAATTGTCTTAAAATTTCAACTACTTTTGCCAAATTTGTGAAACTTTATTTCCTACAGTGTGTGATGTAATCTAGTGGTAACTCAGCTCCAGGTGAATTCTTGAAGTAGAATTAATCTTGCTTGCCTGCTTGAGTTAAATTTTGGATTCTTTCCCAGTAGTTAGTATCAAACCTAGAGGGAAGAACATAACAACCTTTCCTAATGTGTATTCTTGTAGGTGCTCTTTTTATCTAATGTTTTTTTCTGCTTCCGTTCTACTCCAAAGCACATTTAAAATTTTAAGTCTCTTTTCACTTGAAGAGATTGGTGAGTAAGGAGTAATAATTTGAGGAGACCTTTGAAGGTAGTGTCTCTTAAAAAAGATAGTCCAGATAATGCAAGTGATCCAAACTGCATAAAACAAGGTGTTTACTTGCCTGACAATAGCAGCATTTGGTTCAAATGCAAAAGCTGCTTATACTGTTTGTATCATGTTTGAGATTTCATAGTGACTCAACTTTGTAAGAGCAGTCTATTCCTGCTGTTAATATTTCAGTAACAAAAATTTAAAACAAGTTTAAAAGCAAGTCTTCATATTACTTTCAAAGATAGCAGGCACTGGATAAAACAAGTATAAAAAAAGATTTGCATAATATTGGAGAGTTACATCATAATTACCAAATTGGTATTGGTTTACAAGATAACATCTTTTAGTCCATAGGATGTGTGTCTTCTGTAATAACCTTATCCGAAGTTATGCACTTGGCAAGGTAACAGAGAGGTCATTATGTTTGTAAACTAAGAGCACTTGAGAACTTGTCCTTCATGTTGCACATCTGATAAAAATGACTGCTTGTGTTCAGGTTTTCAAGTAACTTCCCTATAGTAAAGAGTGCTCATTCTGTTTTAAGCTGAATATTGGAGTATGTGACTCTGTTGCCTTTTTTCCCCCTCTGCTATTACAGGGAAGAACAGTGATTATTGAACAAAGTTGGGGAAGCCCCAAAGTAACAAAAGATGGTGTGACTGTTGCAAAGTCCATTGACTTAAAAGATAAATATAAAAATATTGGCGCCAAACTTGTTCAGGATGTTGCCAATAACACAAATGAAGAGGCTGGGGATGGTACTACTACTGCCACTGTACTGGCCCGCTCTATTGCCAAGGAAGGCTTCGAGAAGATTAGCAAAGGTGCTAATCCAGTGGAAATAAGGAGAGGTAAGAATATCTCTTCATTGGCCCCATAATGTTCTTAGCTATCTATCAAATTCATTATAAAAAGCTGATCCTCCTCTTGCCTAAAATATGTGAAGTTTCCCTGCAGCAAGCAGTAATCAAATGCCTGGGTGGGTACTGTGCTAGGTGTTGAGGGAAATGCAACTGAGTTAGTTCCTGTCACCTGGGTGTGCCTCAGCTGCCAGCCCCCCACAAACCATTAGTTTATTTGAAGATATAGGATGTATTATCTGGATTTTTTTCTTAAGTAAAATTTTCCAAAATAAAGAAGGGAAGAACTAGCACTTACCCAAATTGAGCAAAATGGGGTTCCAAAAATTCATAATGTGGTGCTGCTGTTAAAGCAAAAATAGTTTGATTGTTCATAATTATACGTTAAATGACAACATTTCAAGTAACTAAAAGTTACCAGGTGCATAGCCACAAGAAATTCCTAACTCTTGTTGAAGGTAAGGGACTGCAGTCAATCTTGATTCTTTTTTGTGTCCTTCCATTGATGGGGGATGTGTTAAGTGGCCCTTTTTTTAAAGTTTCTGTTTTAGTACATGTGTTCCATCTCCATGTATTTAGGAAAAGAATTGGCAAAAAAAGCAGTTAATAGGCTTTTCAGGCATTGAAACATTTAACATGAATCAATATTTTTACTTGATTATAAATTCCTAATAAATTTTGCATTTTAATGGTATTTATTTATTTAAGATTTTATTTTTGTGTAGAAAAACTGGAGTGTAGGCCAGAGATGCAGCAGGTGAGAGGATTCACCAGGGACAAAATTGGGGAGCAGAACAGGCAGATCTACTGAAATAGACTGCTGCAGGGAGCAGTGGGCGAGACAGGAAAGGCCTCCTGTACCAAGTGGGTTAGCCCCCTGGTGGGGGATGAAACTCAGGCCTCAGGGGTGATAGCACTGAGAACCCCTACGCCACCAGAGAGGCCCCTAATCATATTTATTTATAACCAGGTGTGATGTTGGCTGTTGATGCTGTAATTGCTGAACTTAAGAAGCAGTCAAAACCAGTGACAACCCCTGAAGAAATTGCTCAGGTAAGGATTTTTCACATGATAAAATTTGAAAATTTATTAGCCTGATTTTTTTTCATAATCACACAAATGTCAGAGTAATACTGTCCAACCACCAATGTTGGGAGCACTTTCCTACTGCTAAAACATTTGAAAATAATGCAGTGACTGTTATTGGGGGTCTTCTTGAACTATCATTTATTTTAGTTCTACATTACTATGAGTAAAACTCATTTGTATGTATGAGAAATGTTCTTCAATCATTGTTAAAGTGTATAATTTTTTGTCACGTTGTAACATTGCCATGCTTGCCAAGGGGAAAGAAACATTGGGGTTATTTATATTGCTTTTTAAATGGACAATTTCATTTTTGCTGCTAATCTTTCAAAAAGAATGTTACCAAATGAAATAAGTTGGAAACAGAGCCAGTACTTTACTAGAACCACTATACTGTAAAGTTCGCTTTTCCCTATCACACAAAACTGCCATGGATGTATCAATTTGGATATTACTAGAGAATGGAAGTGGAATTGATTGAGGATGTTCAGCCTTATTTTTTAATTTGAAAAGGTAACTTGATTATTTTAGGTTGCTACGATTTCTGCAAATGGAGACAAAGAAATTGGAAACATCATTTCTGATGCAATGAAAAAGGTTGGAAGAAAGGGGGTCATCACAGTAAAGGCAAGTGTTAATGGTAGCTTAAAAATGGGGTGTGTTAATCAGAACTGAATTTTCTAAATACAAAAATTTGATCTACTTCTCTTTAATTTTTATATGTATAATATCAACACCTATGTATATAGTATACAATGCTTTCTGTATTTTATGTGGGTTTTTAGCCTTGCTAGTGGGATTGAATCCTTCCTAACTTGAATGACACTGTCTTGTAGCTATAAAAAATAATTGAAATGTCCTTTTTTGAAATTTTTGCCA